GGTAGTAATGACATCTTAACTATATTTATTCTTCCAATCCATGAGCATGGAATGTTTTTCCATTTCTTTGTGTCTTCTTCAATTTCCTTCATAAGTTTTCTATAGTTTTCATCCTACAGATCTCTTGTCTCCTTGGTTAGGTTTATTCCGAGGTATTTTATGGTTTTTTGTGCAATTGTGAATGGGATCAGTTTCTTGATTTCTCTTTCTGTTGCTTCATTGTTGGTGTACAAAAATGCAACCAATTTCTGTACATTGATTTTGTACCCTGCAACTTGGTTTAATTCTTGGATCAGTTCTAGTAGTCTTCTGGTGGAGTCTGTCGGGTTTTCTATGTAGAGTATCATGGCATCTGCGAAAAGTGAAAGTTTGACTTCCTCTTTGCCAATTCTGATGTCTTTGATTTCCTTTTGTTGTCTGATGGCTACGAATATACTATTTTATTGACTTCTAGCAAACATTGGTTTTTGAAGAACTTTGAGAGTAAAGTAATTTATATTATTTTCAAGATTCCATAATCTAGCAATTTTACTCTGATGTGTCTGGGTAGGTGTTTTATTTTGTATTTTGTTGCTCAATATTTATATGACTCTTTGAATTTGTACTTGTATGTCTTCATCTCTTCAGGAATATTATTTGCTATCTCTTCGGATTTTCTGCCTCATCCTCACCTCTCTTTCTGTCAATTTAATAGCTAATTTCAGTACTATATGACTCTTCAAGGAGCTTATTTAGTAAAATGCACCTTATAGTTTACTTGTGCTGCCATAGGATTCTGAACAAAAGAATAATATAAAAAGATCTTATTCATGACTTGTTTGTATTTAAATCAGTTATGAAGTTATCATTTCCCATGAGTATATTTTAGAAAAAAATACCCCCAGCAGTTACTCTTCTACCAAGTTATAATAACAAGGAAATGAGGAAAATTGAATGATAAAAATAAAAATATGGCTATTGAAATAGTGGATATTTTATACACTGGAAATAATTCAGAAAATAAAATAAACATGTAGTTTTCAGGAAAAAAAAAGGTAGATTATGCCCATTTCCCACTAAGCTATATTTTATTTCATTTTTCATGAAACTAACATCTGAAAACAATCAGGCATTTATTTACATTTGTATTTTTAAAGGGGAAATATTTGCAGCTTCAATACAGTTACTTAAGCACCTGTTGTGCAAATCATTGTGCCAGGTGTTAACCATAACTTTTATATCTTTCACATTTCATTTCAATTGCTTTTGTAAGTCTTGGGCAAAACATAGGAGGTAAACTTTAAATGGTTCCTTGTGTTCTTTTTGCTATCAAAATAAATTATAATAGCAAGTGTCAAGCCAACTTCTACCCTCCTGATAAAGAGATAATCACTCTGTTGCATATATCTGTCCTCACAACAGTGTCTCTCTGTCTGCATAAACAAGGAGAGTTTGTTACTTATCAGGGTGTTTATCAAGTTTTTCTTTAAGTTATACAAGCAACAAAAGCCTGTTCTTAAGAGGAGAAAATAGCAACTTATCTACTATTCTTCATTATGTCTCTATAATTCTCTCTTATTCTCTCTCTAGTTGTTTAATTCAGAAACAATTTATTTTTAATATTTTTTGTGTTGAGGGAAAACGGAAACAGTGATTGCTTTACTACCAATTAACTTATTTTCTCTGTTAACAAAGTACATGGGATATGTGCCCATTAAATGATATCTTGAATAGACATTTCTCCAAATAAGACATACAATTAGTAAATAGATACATGAAAAGATGTTCAATATATTTAATGATCATGGAATTGAAAATCAAAACCACCATGATCTCCTCACAAATGTTAGAATAACTATTATCAGAGAAAGAGAGAGAGAGAGAGAGACAAGTGTTGGCAAGGAAGTGAAGAAACAGGAACCCCCTGCACTGCTGGTGGCAATGGAAATTGGTACAGTCACATGGAAAAGAGCATGCAGATTCCCCCAAAATAAAAAAAAAAAGAAATTTCCATATAATCCAGTAACTTTATATGTAGGTATATATGCAAAGGAGCTCAAGTCAGATTCTCGAAAAGTTATCTGCATCCCATGTTTGTTGCAGTATTATTCACAATAGCCAAGATATGGAAATAACCTAAGTATGCATCAATGGATGAATGCATGAAGATATGAAGTATATTTTCTTCAACAATATTATTTAGCCATAAAAAAAAGAAGGAAATCCTGCCACTTGCAACAAATAGATGGACCTAGAGAGTATTATGCTAAGTGAAATGAGTCAGACAGAAAAAGGCAAATACTATTTAATATCATGTAGAATCAAAACATTCCAAACTCAGAAACAGAACTGGTGGTTGCCAGTGGTGGAGGGTGGGAGGGAATGGGTGAAGGCTGTCAAAAGGCACAAACTCCCAGTTATAAGATTAATAAGTTCTTAGGATGTGATGCACAGCATGGTGACTATAATTAACAATACTGTTTTGTGTACTTGAAAGTTGCTAAGAGAGTCAATCTTAAAAGTTCAAATCAAAAAAAAAAAAAAGTTCAAATCATAAGAATGAAATTAACTATATGAAATGATAGGTGTACAGTAAATTTATTATGGTTGTTAGACCTTCCTTTCCAAAGGAGAATCCCTGAGAACAAAGCCCACAACACACAAAAGGAGTTGGTTATTCAGGTTTATTTTAGTCCGGTGGACGGCCCCTCCCGAGCACCTGAAAAATGCTCGGAAGAGCGCCCTGCGGAGCCATAGCTCAGGGTTTATATAGGGAGAGGGGCGAAGCCAGTGTACAGAAGTGAGAATTTTGCCATTAGAGGTGGGGGTTGCTTAACAGTTGCTTAAAGAACAGGTTTGGCCATTCTAATCACAATGTTCGTTAAAAATATACATCTCAGGGACTTGCTGGAGCCAGGAGGAGCTAGGTTGCACAACCCCTGACCTTTTTACCATAATAAAGTTTGAGATCAAACAATCCTTGGTATTTCCTCATTTGCAAGCCCCTCACCTTTTGGCCCAAGGGAGTTTTTACATGGTGATCATTTTGCAATATATACATATATCAAATCATATATTGTACAGCTTAAACTAACACATATAACTAATGTTATCTGTTAATTTTATCTCAATCATACTGAAAAGAAAGAAAATGTGATATGTACATGCCATGAAAAATTATTCAGCCTTAAAAAAAAAAAGATCTTGACCTATTCAATGACATCATTAACATAGAGGACATTATACTAAGTGAAATAAGCCAATCACAAATACCATGTGATTTCACTTTTGTAAGGTATCTAAAATAGTAACATTCACAGAAACAGAACACAATGGTGTTTAAGAGGGGCTGGGGAGGGGGAGACAGGGGTAGCTGTCCAGTCTGGTTTTGGAAAATAGAATAAAGATTTTTTTTATGAAAAAGACATTTAATTATTATTTTGCTATATAACATATTAATGAGTATACTTGATTGGAATTTCTCAAATGGCAAATAAGACACAGAATAACATATTTCTGATTCCTGAAAATCTCAATATCATCTGTCATTTGGAGAATTCAGGTTCCTATGATGTCTATAATACTGTCCATGAGGATTCCAACATTGCCTAGTAATAAAGAACATTTTGCTAAGTTGTTCTGTCATGAGTCTCTGCTCAATGTGTTCATTTTTTTCTTTTTTCTTCTAAATTGGTTTGCAACACTTAATTGTGTGTTTCTTCATCATTATGCACAAGATCTGCCAAGGGATAGGTTTTGTATTTATATGGAAGGTCCACAGAAGGGAGGTAACATACTATTATATTACTAACATACTATTCTCCTACCATCAGATGTCAAAGCAAGATCATTGGGGAATAAGTTTAAGAATTCACTGAGTTTGCACAGATACATTAACAAGGCATAAAGAATTAGAAAGCCACAGGATTAACACACCCAAGTTTGGGTAAACGAGATAGGTAAAACAAATTAGGTAAACAGGGCAAAGGACCCCACTATAGGATAAACGTATAGGAATAGGAGATCTCAGAATGAAAACACCAAGATTAAGTAAACAAGAGTATATATATATATATATATATATATTCAGGTCAGAAGGCCTTCCAACTTAGAACAATAGGAGAAAACTGCTTCACAGAAAGGACAAAAACAGGAAAACAGGACTTTAGACCACTTCAGGGTGGTGTTGCCCAGAGGGAGATAATTAGGAAAAAAACAGGTACTTTGTTGACCTTGAGGAAGCATACTCTCTCTTTCTTGTCCCTAGGGCAAATTTAGGTAAACAGAGGTGGCGCCCCATGACTGCTGTAAACAACCTTCCACTCAGTGCCAGGATTTTGTTTTGTATTGACCCAAACCCCTAACACTGCATATCTTCAAAATCTCCTTTGCCTCTCACCCATGAGTTAATGTTCATGGTTTCATTATCTCTTTGAGCACATCCATCAGGCTTGTAAGCCTTCTGATCCTAATAAAAACAGAACAAGGACCCTTACTTGAGCTCTTATCTCCTCCTGGACATTAGTCTCTCATTTCAATCCTTTATCTGTCCCCTTGCTGGACAAGAAAGAAGTCCAGACCCAGAGTCTGTGGGAAAGGTCTACTTTGCAATTATAGTCACCTGGAGGATAAAAATATGTAGATTTATGAGAAGCACAATATAAAGTTTGCCTTTGAATTGGAAATAAATATTTCCAGATAGTTCTGTTTGGTATTGCCCACTTTGTTACCATTTCTAATGCCATAGTGAATCAAGATGTTTATTAGGTAATGTGAAAGAAGGTGATTTGAAGAGAAACTACTTTTAAAATCTGCCTCTAGGCACACGTATTTTCATGTGTTGACAGCCACTCACCTCAGTCAAGCTGGGTAGTTCTTGATGAGTAATAATATGTTTGGTGAACACTAAAGAAGCAAAACACTTCACTTGACTAAGTCAAAGCTAAGATGAGGCACATTTTTTATCCATTTAGGGTTTAGAGTTTTGAAGAGAGAATGTTATTATTAAAAACTTAAGCTAATAATTTGTATCTTGAATATTCATTAAAATATGAATGAAAACTTTTTGGGGTCATTAAGCTAAGCATTGTCAGTAGTTATTTTTAATAGCTTAACAATAATGGGACTAGTGCTAATCAAAAAATTTCATCTTGTATTTTGCATATTCCATTCAGAATTCTTTTGAAAGGATCCATGGAAATATTTTTCTGACAATTTAATGTATAATTTTTTCAAATAATTTATGAAATAAAATAAAATAATTTCCTTACATTAATATGGTAATTTGTATAGCTTTGGTAGCTGAAAAGGTAATTCAGGAAACAGACTCTGCAAAAGATAATATTGAGTCAGAGAACTGAAATAATTTTCTTTCTTATTTTTACTCTTTTTTTAATAATTAACATAATTTTATTATACAATATAAATATTTGATCAACTTCATTTCTCTATATGCCCAAGAATTTTCTCTATTCTAAGTAATAGTGCTGAAGCCCTATCTATAATTTCAGACTATCTTCTAGCCGCAGCCAAGGTTTCCAATATTCTCTTATTTGAGAATAAACCTAATTAAAATCTTGACTGCAAACTCTGAGACACACTGCCAGAATTACTCAGATAAACAGTTCCTCAATTCCTGACCCAGAAAACACAAATAAATAAGTCTTTGTTATTTTAAGTTGCTAAATTAAGAGATAACTTGTTATGTAGCAATAAATAACTAAGATACTCTAATGTAGAATATGTTTTTAGCATATTGTGTTATTTTCCAGCCACTTATGGCTGTTAAAGATAATTCTAATATAGTATAAATCTCCAGTTATATAGCACATTTAAAGTTTTGCTTTTATCCAATATGGATGAAACTTAGGCTCAAGGAACTTGAAATTCCTCCATTGTCCATTTTCTGACACTAGTTCTTCTGGACACACATCCTCTTAATTGTAAGGTTTGTGAGGATGCAGCTTCCTTTTCATTTGTGGTTACTACGTTCCTAGTTTATATTGACTGGCTGCACATATTTTCTGAGTAATAATCATCCCAATGCTGTTCTTGTCATGGGGATGCATATATGGGTCATGGTGGGCACCTGCAAAGCTACCTGGCTGCCCAATTTGCTGATGTGGAAGACTTGGTTTTGACCTAGCCACTTCTACCGCTCCACCTTTCCAACCTCGGCTCCCACCACCAATCATCCTTATTCCTGGCCTCTTTTTGCTACAAATGTTCATTTGATACACAAGAAAATTATACACGTTCACTCACAATATGTGATATGAGTGGTTACAAACCTAGGGTCAGCTTCTCTTTGTGATCTTCCTTCTCTCTGCAGTTTTATTACTTTCTTTTCTAAGATGAACAAGAGAAGCTTTAATACCTTGTAGCAATACTAATATAAAATGAGAAAAGAAATGTTTGCTTATGAGCCTTATGGGCACCCTTATTTTCCCAAATATTTTTCCTGGAAAATCCCTTCTATTTAAATAGAGAGACAACAATGAAACACACTCCTTCCTGCCCTATAAGGGGGAAGAGTAACCTTTCAGAAAACATAGTACCCCTAAAATGTTGATGAAAATTCCTCTTCTCTCTTTTCCTTCTGAAATGGGTAGGGACTTAGTGGTTTTCTTGACTACCTTTTTCCTATTTTTAAAGGCCCTATCTTGGTGGATTGCTAGTTGCAACTGACGTTAAGAACATGGAGAGTTCTTGGTGTTTTTTTTTTTTTCTCCCAATTTTAGATTGTAACTGCAATTTATTTACTTTGTGTTTAACTGCAAAATACAGACTAAATTGATGTTTTCTAATTTTTTCTTTGCATTCTTACTAATTGTGTGGGTTTGAGTAAGTCACTTTATGTCTCTGAGACTTAGTTTACTCAAATGAGACACTTATGTTGGACTAAAAGATTAATAGCTCTAACATTATATGGCTACTATCAATACCACTGTTAGGAACTTCAATGCTGATGTATTTGTTTGAGTATATTCCTAAGAGTGGAGTCAGAGTCAGAATAATCTTGTGTATAACTTTTTGAAAAAATCCCAAAATGTTTTCCATAGTAACTGATCCATAAAATATCCCTACCAACAATGTAGGAGGGTTCCAAATTCTTCATGTCCTCACCAATACTTATTATTTTTCTTAAAAAAAAAAGTATACCATTCTAGTGGGTGTAAAGTAGATCTCACTGTGGTTTGATTTCTGTGTATTTAATGACTACTATTATTGAACATCTTTCCATGTACTTGATCGACATTTTATACCTTCTTTGGAGATGTATCTATTCAACACCTTGGCTCATTTTTAAATTGGGTTGTTCAGCTTTTTTTGTTGTTGAGTTGTGAGAATTTGTTTCATATTCTGGATGCTACATTTTCAGATATATGATTTGTAATATTTTCTTTCATTCTATGGGTCATCATAGACTTCTAAGCTGATCATTATTTTCTCAGCTGATGTCCTTGATGTACAAGTCTTTCATTCTGATGAATCCTACTTTCTTAAATTTCTCTTTTGTTGTCTGTTTTTTGGTATCAGATGTAAAAATTCATTGCCAAATGCAAGGTCATGAAGATTTACTTCTATGTTTTCTCTAAGAATTTTAGAACTTGCATTATAATTTTGAATACCAAAGGTGAATTGGCATCTTGTCTTTTTTCTAAACTTTGTGAGAAACCTTTCAGTGTTTAGCCACTGAATATAATGTTAGCTGTGGGTTTTTCATCAAATAGTGTCATCACCATTATCTTGACCATTAATTTGCATAAACTATGGACTTAATAGTTTGGTAAAGGTCAAAAATAGGGACTAAGCTAGAGACTATGCTTGGCAATGTGTTTGGTCTCAGGAACGTCCATCACAATGTGTGACAAACTCATGTGCAATATGGATAACTGTAATATACTAAGGGATTCTATGTAATTATCCTGAAAATAAGTAGTAAAATAATAGATGTGTCTAAAGAGTACTGAGCCCATGCATTGTGGTCATTTCCTTTGAAACATGGCTTTTTAAATTAGTAGCCATATCATAGACCTTTCAATAAATATACCCTATCCCTGTTTTGTTGTTTTTTTTGTGTGTTTGTGAGTTCTATATTTGTGTATTTGGCTACTCACTATAATGTTTATTTATAACCCCAAAATCAGTATTCACTGTGCTTTGGCAGTCATTTGCATACGTGCACAGAACATGAAGAATTTGTATCACTTGATGCAGATGCTCCCAGGGTAGGTCAAACAAGGCTAAGGTCTGCCTTTTTGTTTCAGCTCTCACAGAGATAACCAAAAATGGAGTTGATACAGAGCAGTGCAGTTTAGTGCAAGAAGCTCTCTGGCTCTGAGGCCAGTTGGATGGAGTTTGGAAAATAACTCTGGGATGCCCGGGTGGCTCAGTCGGTTGGGCCTCTGGCTTCAGCTCAGGTCATGATCTCACGGTTGGTGGGGTGGAGCCCTGTGTTGGGCACTCTCTGTGCTGACAGCTACCTCAGAGCCTGGAGCCTGTTTCAGATTCTGTGCCTCCCTCTCTCTACCCTCCCCTGCTCGTGCTGTCTCTCTTTCTCAGAAATTAATAAAAAATATTTAAAAATTTAAAAAGAAAAGAAAAGAAAAGAAAAGAAAAGAGAAAAGAAAAGAAAAGAAAAGAAAAGAAAAGAAAAGAAAAGAAAAGAAAAGAAAAGAAAAGAAAAACAACTCTGGTGTCTGCTAGTGGGGTGCTCTCGATCAAGTCACTTACTTCTCAACCCATTTTTTTAAATTTAAATAAAGTAGACTCTATGAAGATATATTATTTTATGATTTAAGAATATAATGTGTGAAATACGCATATATGCATGTCTGTACATATTTCCCAGAAGCAGTAGTTCAGTATTTGCTAATTCACTGTTCATGGTTATTTTATAGAACCATACTACCACAAAAAACAAGAATCAATTGTCTTTGTTGAATATATACTTAGTAAATGAATGACTACTGTACATTGGATTGATATCTCTTTCAAAAACGTTCTGATACTCACTAAAATTTAAAGAAACATTTAACTTAATGGGTCAAGATACTATAGAGTAGAAAACAAACGATGTGTGAAGACAAGAAAATCAGTGAAACTCAAATATAAAACCTAGCTTTGGGGAATAATATATATGCATTAATTTGATTATAGTAATAATTTTACAGTTGTATACGTATGGTCAAAACATATAAAATTACACATTTTAAATGGTAGTTTAATAGTACTGTTTATAAAAGGTAATCAAGTCAAAGAGAAAAGTAGAATAGTCACAAGATTAGGAACACATTGGAAGCAAGATGAAATAAATTTCAAGTAACTAGGTAACAACACAATTAAAATTAAGACTATAATAATGAATCATACTACTTTATTCTCATGTTTACGTACACACCTTTTACTTCACCCATGATGAAACAATACCCTAATAATACTTGTTGGCACCAATCACAAATGTGCTCACTGATGGACTCTTTACAAGACTAATGTGATAAATCTGATTGATAAAAATGATGAGAATATAGTATCAACTTGTACACATTTCTACAATGAATGTGCTTTTATTATATTTTTTTAGAAAATAGCTACTTCTTATACTTTGTTCTTAACAATAATAAGTTATTTTACCTGCTTGGTCATTAATGCTACTTGTTGATGATGAAAATAAAGTGGTTTTCCTATCTATTTTTGGCCATCACGTAGTGAGGTAATTTCAAAAGGCTCTCTCCTTCCCAGA